GCTATCAGTAATAACCGATAGGTTTTATCGCGCATTAGATAAAGGTGGAGAGGTTAAGGCCATTGCTCTTGACATTTCTAAAGCGTTTGATAAAGTTTGGCATGCTGGTCTCCTCCATAAGCTTTCTTCTTATGGTGTATCTGGAAACATCTTTAAGATTATTGAATCCTTCCTTTCCAATCATAGTATAAAAGTTGTCCTTGATGGACAGCACTCTTCTTCTTATTCTGTAACCTCAGGGGTTCCCCAAGGTTCAATTTTTGGCCCTATACTCTTTTTAATTTACATTAACGATCTTCCAGATATTCTCACATCTAAGGTGGCATTGTTCGCTGATGATACTACCATTTATTCTTGTCACGATAAGAAGCCAACTCCCTCTGATTGCTTGCAGGGGGCATCTGAGCTCAAAAAGGATCTCACTTCTGCTACAGCATGGGGCTCGCAGTGGCTGGTGAACTTTAATTCAGATAAAACTCAATTTTTTTCGGCCAATCGTTATCGCAATAATTTAGACCTTCCTATATTTATGAATGGTAATGTACTCGATGAGTCTCCTACCCTTCATCTTCTAGGATTAACTCTTACTTCTGATCTTTCTTGGAAACCTTATATCAAATCCGCTGCAAAATTAGCATCTGCTAAAGTTGCTTCTCTTTATCGAGCTCGTCACTTTCTTACTCTGGATTCTATTCTCTATCTCTATAAATCTCAAATCTGGCCTTGTATGGAATACTGTTGCCATATCTGGGGCGGATCTTCTAATGATGCCCTTTCTCTTTTAGACAAGGTGCAAAAACGCATTGTAAACATAGTTGGACCTGCTCTTGCAGCCAACCTTCAACCTCTGTCACATCGTCGTAATGTTGCTTCTCTTTCTCTTTTCTACAAATACTATAATGGACACTGCTCTAAAGAGCTAGCGTCTCTTGTGCCATCTACTAAAATTCATTCTCGTGTTACTCGTCATTCAATTAAGTCTCATCCTTTTTCTGTTACTGTTCCTAAGTGTTCCAAAAACTCTTATTCGTCTAGCTTTTTTCCTCGAACATCAGTTCTTTGGAATTCGCTTCCTTCATCTTGCTTTCCTGATTCATATAATTTGCAATATTTTAAGTCGTCTGTCAATCGTTATCTTGCTCTACAATCTTCATCTTTTCTCTTCCAGTAACTTCCAACACTAATTAGTGGTTGCTTGCAACCTTGTTGGAAGCGAAGATAATTAAAAAAAATATATTGGATTGTATGCTTTTATTTCCAGAACATAAATCTTGATGCATTGTTAAGAACTTGTTACTGACTTGTGTTCTTTGAATTGATTTAACATTTTTCACTGTGCTAAAGCCTCTTAGCGGTCTGCTGAACTTAAGCTATGGCACAATAAAAAATAATTAAGAGACAAAAGATTAGTGAAGCTATCCCAAGATCGTGATGGAAATGATTTTGAGCTTGCACTTATCCAGATAATTTTTTTGTTGTTTCCAGCAAAAAAGTCACTATTCATCTATTAAACTGTGTTAAGCAACTTGTCTACTCAGGCAAACATATACATCTGATACATTTAAGCATTCTTTCAAAATACCCTTTTTGATAGAAGTCACAATATAAATTCAAGCTTTGTATTTTATCACTTCAGGCAAATTTACAACCCTATATATCAAATGCTTTTTCCAGTAAAAACCTGAGTGTGAATTTTCTTCAAGTCTTTTTAAGTCGCATAACGCATGCTCGAACGAAGAATTAACTTTATGCATTAAAATTTTTTTTTATGTGTTCTCCTTAACTAAAAAAACATAAACATTATTATTGTGTTATATATTATATTGTTATATTATATGATGTATATAATATTGTGAATATTTTAATAATTTATCTTAAATTTACTTGTAAACAATTTACTATTTATTACAATAATATTTTAATTTAAAAAATAATTATTTTGTTATTAAATGCAACATTATATGTGTAATTAAATATTTAAACTTAGTAATTAATTCAATATCTAATTTTAAAACTCTTTGTGAAGTAAAGGGTTTTAAAACATCTAAATATAGCTTAAAAAAATAATACTAAAAAACTCTAAGCAACAAGACAAGTTATGTATTTTTTCAAAATACAAATGTATATTTTTATTTGTTTGTAATAAATTAAACCTACACACATTAAGAATCAAATTATCATCAAGATCACCGTAAATATAAAGTGCTGATAAAAAAATTTTCTTTGCGAAGAATGCCTTTGAGGCTTTTCTGTGCTGCACTATAGTCACTTTCCAAGCTGACGCTGTTATAACTATGAATATGCATTTTAAGACCTGAAGATTCTCTAACACATTAAGCATATGCACAATAAAAATAATTAATACTACACTAAAAATAATAAGTAAAAATACATCAAGGTATTATCAATATTTATATCAATATTAATGCCTAATTCTGAAAATACACCAAAAACTTTGCATCAAGATAAACTGCAGATATAACAGTAGAATTTCAATGAAAGATGAAAAGTTGCTGGCAAAATAGTTGCAGACTTTAGAATTTCTTTGACATCATTTAGTGCCAGCTGCAATCAAAGCAACAAATAATGTGGTATGTGAGAAAACTACTGCACTTATTTTTTAGAATATATGCACCATCAATAGTTATGTCTACCATAACAGGCGCTATATTTTCCACATGTAATATTAGTTAATTATTATAGTTGTCTGGTTCTTCTTCACTTAAGAAACCTTCAAAATTGTATTTATCGTTATTATTGTCACTATTGCCTGAAAATTTAAACTTATTATATAATAAGTTTAAAATTTCAGGTGCATTGCATTTGATCAAGTTACACTATCTATTGCTGGAAATCTAGTTTTGATATTTCCATTAATTGAAAAGTGAAGGTAAATAACCATTTGCTCTAATCTATAGGCATCAGTAGACTTTAGTTTACAATAATGCTAAAAAATTTAGCAGTGGAGAATTGCATTTATTATATCGTCTATTATGATATTTTCCCGATATTCAACATATCATAAGTGTTTCGAAACCAAAAGTTGCAAATGTACTTTTTGAGCTTCTGACAAAGTTGTTTTGACCTGTTGAGCCTTCCTTAACTTATTAATTTTTTTCTTTTTTTGTGTTTTTTTGTCAATCCATTGTCAACACTCTCGATTCAGCACCAATCACATCACTGCTTGCATTGACTATCATCACTGCTTGCAATGGCCATACTAACAGATTTGAGTTTTCTTTTACTTGAGTGAAAAAGTCCGATGTCATAATAAATAAATGAAACCATTGTAAATGATAATATGAAAATTAATCATATAATATTGATCACTTTATCTTTTACAAATAATTTTTAAGTAGCCATACCTAAATTCTTTACTATTATGTTTTTAGAAATTTTGACAGATAATTTTACAAGTATTAATTAAAAAAAACATGGATATATTAGTAAATTAAAATTTCTAGAGGAAAAAAGTCTTTGGAAGGTTAATTTGAAAAAACAGTTAAAGTTCTTAAGTGATTTGTAATTTTTGCTGGTAGAGATAAAAAAGAAAAAAAAGTGTTTAAGGAAAACGGCATGTTAAGATGGCAATAAACACAGCCTACAATAATATCATACATTAAAAAAAATGATTTCAACCAACACATATTCTAAGAGTTGAGATTTATAGATGGATTATGCTCAATAAGAAACAAGATTTACTGAAATTGTTGGTGGTAAATCATATGATAGTTCTGTTATTGCTATAATGCTGAATTCATAATTTATCAGAGATAAAATTAGTAGAAGATGCTGTGGTAGTATAGTGGTAGAGCACTTCCTTTATAAGCCAGAAGTTCCGAGTTTGATCCCCACCACGCCCCTAGTAGTACCAACTCAACATGTTTCTCCACACAGCTTTATTGTTTGTCAAATCTTGTGTTTAAGAGTCTAAGAGTTGAGAAAGGATTTTAACCACAACAAAGTAGCATCTATATATTCAACTAATGAAGCAACATTAATGAAACAAATGAAAAAGAGAAAATTATATTTTTAATAAAAACTATATATTGTAATAATAATAACTGTAATAATTTTATATGTTTAAAATTGATTGTGTTTTAAAACTTCAAATCAAATTATCAACCTTGTTGTCATTTAGCTTACAAGACAGTTTGTTTAATTAAAGATATAATATTCTCAAAAGCTAAGAAATGTAAAAGGTCATTAGGGAGTTTAATGAGTGTATTTTATTGGTAATTAATGCTTGAAGACACAGTTAATTATTATTTTTATTAATTATTATTAATAATATAAATATTATTTTTATTATTAAACTCTCATCTTATCAAACTTTTATTTTTATTATTAATTATTATTTTTATTATTTATTATTAATAATATAAATATTATTTTTATTATAAATTACCATTACTATTTTAATCATTGTCATTAGGTGTTTACTTAATGTTAGTAGTTTATACCATTTGTAAAAAAACTTGAAATGTAATTCAAAATATTTCAGAAAATATATTGATTGATTATCCAAACGCTAAATGAAAACTAATGCAGTATTTTACTGGTTAGTTAGAATATTATAATTGTAAAAAAAAACAATGAAAAAATTTTAACTAAAACATTTTTTAAAAATCCTTTAAATTTTTGAAAGCCTTTTTTTTTGTAATTGTTAAGAGTCCTACAATTGTAACTTTGCTGAGGTCACAGACCTGAAGTTTATGTTTTTCAGATTTATTTTACTTTAGTAACAAAACATTGATTTTAGACTTGATATTTTGTTACTAAAATAAAAACTGATCTGAAAAACAAACTTCAGATATGTGACCTCAACAAAATGCAATATTATTTATAAATATGATGATAAATAATATAATTTATTAATCTTATGATAAATAACTATGAAAAACAGGTAAAAAGATGTTCTTCAATCTATAGACATGTTTTCAATTTTAATTAAAATACTTTATTAAAAACAGACAATTTAAAATTAAACAAAAAAATACCTATCTGCACAAAGGTTAAACATCGAATCCAATCTTCATGTCCTTTAAGGCTGAGAACTTTTATTAAATTATTCTAAATTTTATAAAAATAAACAGATCATCCCTTAATCCTTACAATAATTATCCTCATCCTCATTATCATCCTCATCATCATCATGATCATCATCATCCTCATCATCATCACCACCATCATCGTCATCATTATCATCATCATCATCATCATCATCATCATCATCATCATCATCATCATAATCATCATCATCATCATCATAATCATCATCATGATCATGATGATCATGATCATCATCACCACCATCATCGTCATTATCATAATCATCCTCATCATAATCATCATCATGATCATCATCATCCTCATCATCATCACCACCATCATCGTTATCATTATCATCATCATCTTCATCATCATCACCATCATCATCATCCCTATCACCATTATCATCATTCCTATCACCACCACCATCACCATTATCATCATTCCTATCACCATCACCATCACCATTATCATCATTCAAATCATGATCATGATCATCACCATTATTATCGTTATCATCATCACCATCAAACATTATCACCATCGTCATTACCATTACTATAAAAAAGTTCATAAAAAAACCTGATTAATAGCATTTGTAAATAAACTAATAGATGTATCATCACAGCCACATGCAAGTAGTATACCTAAAAAGGATTTTTAAACTTTAAATACCTAAAACATATAAGGTAAAAAAATTTATTATTTAGATTAACAAATACTTCATTCTTAGTTGTAAAAAAAAAGCAAACATAAATACTTGTAAATATAAGTAAAACAAAAAATAAAAGTCAGCTTATGTTTCAAAAAAGTACTGTTTCATCAAAATAGAATACAAAAAAATTTGTGATGACAACAAAATTTGTTATGACAACAAAATTTACTATGACAACAAAATTTACTAAAATCATTTTTAGTAAATGATTTTAGCAAATGCCATGATTTTAGTAAACTTTATTTGACAATAAAATAAAGCATTTACTAAAATCATGGCAGTTCTGATTTTAAGTTCTGATTTTAAGGTGTTAATTATTACTCTGATATCAATTTGAAACGCAAAAAAGTTACAAATCAAATAAGTAAATCAATTTGAAACGCAAAAAAGTTACAAATCAAATAAGTAAATCAATTTGAAACGCAAAAAAGTTACAAATCAAATAAGTAAATCAATTTGAAACGCAAAAAAGTTACAAATCAAATAAGTAAATCAATTTGAAACGCAAAAAAGTTACAAATCAAATAAGTAAATCAATTTGAAACGCAAAAAAGTTACAAATCAAATAAGTAAATCAATTTGAAACGCAAAAAAGTTACAAATCAAATAAGTAAATCAATTTGAAACGCAAAAAAGTTACAAATCAAATAAGTAAATCAATTTGAAACGCAAAAAAGTTACAAATCAAATAAGTAAATCAATTTGAAACGCAAAAAAGTTACAAATCAAATAAGTAAATCAATTTGAAACGCAAAAAAGTTACAAATCAAATAAGTAAATCAATTTGAAACGCAAAAAAGTTACAAATCAAATAAGTAAATCACACAGTTATTACTCAGTGTTTGTAACTTAGTTATTAGCTGAATTAAGGTACACAAGTATACTATTATACAAAAAATTTGAACAAGGAAATAACAATATTATAAATTAAAATGCTTTGAACAACATTTATCCTTATCTTTATTTTGCATTTAAACCGTCTGATTTGTCATTAAAATTCAAGAAATAAAATGGAGGAAAAGTTCTTTGTAAATAGCTAATATAGTTCTTTGTAAAGACGTAATAAGATCAGAGATAGGTTTATAAGAGATTGGAACCTAGAACTTGCCTTTGTCAATGACACAATCATTTTTTTTAAACCTAACATTTTTGATAAAATATAAGATTTAGCTGAGAATAATGGACCTTAGCATTGAACAATATCTTTTCACATAAATTACTTGCAATAATGAAAGATATTTTTTCTTAAAAATGTTATTTTTATCAAAAAAAGATTACAAGTAAAGCAGCTAAAAAATTGATAGATTCAGCTTTTTCAAAATTTTAAGTACAGAAAGCTAGATTCACAGTATTTAAAAAAATACATCTACAGATGAAGGAATAAAAAATATAATGACTTTGATAAAACACTATTCTAACTTGTTTTTCTGGAATTGCAAATCATGTTTAAGATGCTTGGCTTCACATAGTAAACCACACCTCAAACTATTTTGGATTCTTTAAAATACATTGTGATAAAGTATTAGGAATTGCCAGTTAATGCATCAAATATTTTGTAACTCAATGTAACAACTCATTACTTTCACTCATTACTTTTCTCTAATGCAAAGGTTGAGCAACCTTTTTTTCACTAATGAAAAAATAAAAACAAACACATAAAACTCTTCAAAATAATAATACTTACAAAACTTAATTGGAGTAAATTTAGAAAAATTCCAGTGATTTGAATATTGAATTATAACTGAGTGCAAAAACCCACAATCACCAAAAAAGTTACACAATAAGAGTGTAAAAACTGGTTTACATTTGAAAGGACTTTTTATCAAATGATATAATAAATAGGGCAAAACTATTTTTTTCTAATAAATAAAGAAGGAAATTTTTTTTCTCCAATCATCAATTACTTGATTAAATTTTGATAAAATATTTTATAATAATTTATAATTACTCTTTTATGTCATGTATTACAACTCTGCAAGCAAAATGTAAAAGTAGAAGTTGTATAGATAATAATTTTATATCTAAATTTAAACTAATTTTTATGGTTAAAAACGTTTACCTAAAAATATCTTTGAATCCTAATAATAAAATTTAAATTAGGATGTACAGAGGGCAAGATTTTGCCAAAACCTCTCCTTCATTTTTTTATACTTATACAGCTAAAATCTTTCTAAATATAGTATTATGTATATCTTTCTAAATATTCTAGTAATCCTTGACAAATGATATGTAATCATACTTATTTTAATTCATTTCTTTACCATGAGAACCATAAGACTATCATTAAATTTCATGGTTACATACTTTATGGCTGCACCTTTGAATTGTGGTTAATTTTTTATTAATCAAAAATTACAAAATTATAGGCATAGAAGAGAAATAATGCATGAACCAGTTGCATATATACATTTATATTTTGAGATTAGTAACTTAACATTACAACTAAGTTACTGATAGTAACAAAATATTACAAAGAAGTTACCAATAAGTAACAAAACATTACAACTAAGTTACCAATAAGTGACTAAACATTACAACTAAGTTACCGATAAGTAACAAAACATTACAACAAAGTTACTAATAAATAACTAAACATTACAACAAAGTTACTGATAAGTAATTAAACATTACCATGACATTACTGATAAGTAACTAAACATTACAACAATGTTACTGATAAGTAACTAAATATTACAACGAAGTTACTGATAAATAACTAAGCATTACAACCAGGTTAAAAGTTAGTGATTAGAAAATAAACATTACTATGAAGTTTCTGATAGGTAACTAAACATTACAATGAAGTTAGAAGTTATTAGTTAGTAATTAAACATTACAATGAAATTAAAGAAGCATGTTTTAAACTTTAAAAATATTTCTGGAACTTTTTCAAAATTTGAATTTTTATAAATCTTAGAAATTTTAGTATATGTATTTTAAAAATACTTCCTGATTATTTGTTAACTTATTATCCATAACTTGGCTTTTTTTTTTTAACCAATCAACCTTGATCAGCAAGAACTCATTTTGGGAGCTCAAAATAACAATTTTGTTTATTTTAATGTTGTATGAGGTTTTTAATCCTGTTTTTTTTTTAATCTTGTATAAATTGCAAATGAGATTTTTATCACAGAACAAAATAAAGATTTTTCTCCCTATATTTAATTTTTATTATCAACTTATCGTTAATGGTTTTTTCATTGAGTTATATGTGAATAAAACATGCATGCTAGATTTGAAAATAATTTGTTATTTAAAATCTGAAATGTATTTAAGACAAGTTTTAAATTAGGGGGATAAAGAAACTTTCAGAAGATAAATTAAGCCATTAATTACAAACTAAATTCATAATAATGAAAAATTCGATTTAATAAAACTGCAACAACTTTTTACAAATAGATTAACACAAGAACAGATATCAAAGGGTTCTGATTGGAAATTCACTATCTAATCAAACCAGCATCCTAAGTAAAGTTCCACAGGATAGCGTTTTGGGCCCAACGTTATTCTTGTTATATATTAATGATCTACCCTCTATAGTAAAAGATCTTAATTGCTCTCTAATGTTATATGCTGACGATATCAAGCTATATAGTTCATTTAAGGATGCCGATTACAGTCACAATCTTGCTGTAGCCATTTATAAAGTTTTATAAATGGATCTTAGAATATTGCTCTCCGGTTTGGTCACCAAATCGCACTGAAATGAATAATACAGTGGAAAGAGTACAAAGACGTTTTACCAAGGGAATTGCTAACCTAAATAACTTTTCATATTCCAATAGACTTAGAATTCTTGGTTTGGAACTACTAGAAATTCGTCGCTTTAAGCAAGACATGATTACATGTTACAATATTCTGAACAATTTAGTTTGCCTAATAAATCAAGTTTTTTTTTATATAACAACCATATTTAAAAATATTCTTTCTCACTCAGGGTTGTTAATATTTGGAATAACTTGCAGTCTGATGTTGTGAATGCCAAAAATATAAAGAGCTTCAAAATTAAAATTAACTCCATCAACTTTGAAAAATACTGTTTCGGTTAAATAGTTTTTGTTTTATAACTGTAGTCTTATATATAATTGTAATATATATTTTAAATTATCTAGCATATGTATTATGTGATTGTAGGGCACGTTGTCAGAGTCCATCATACTTTATAGACCTGCGTGCCCTTTAGAGCATGTATCACTGTTCTACTAAATTTTAATCTAATATAATCTCATCTAAGAAAGAAAAAAGAAATAGTGATTTATAAAAACAAAAAAAACTGTTATTATTGAATACTACCAAAAATTAAAGAGTAAAAACATTTTGTTAGTGGTTTCAGTAAATGACTTTTCAATTACTAATGAAACTGGTTGTGTTTTTTTCTTCTTTTATAAACAGATATATTGATATGGTTGCTTCAAATTGCTGTGAGTTTGTAAATGAAATTTCTAAAGAGCTTTACTCAAAAACAGGAGCAATTCAAAGAAATATGACCAGATAAGATATTGGAACAAATAGATTAGTAGAGGACCAGAATCAAATAAATAAAAATACATTAGTAAAGCTGGATGAGGTTGCTTTGGAATGGCTATATATTATTGACAGTGCTTTGTTTTCATTGAGAGTTAGAAAACACAAGCTTCCACTGGTTTATGAAGGGAAGCAGTTCTTTCTGTTGATTTAATGATAATGACGCTCTTAGCAATGATGATTTTTACAAAGAAATGGAGTATTGAGAACATAAAGAGTCTTTTATACTTTTAACTCTTTAAAAATTTCATATCAGAATTTTACTGGGAAAAAAACTGGGGAGTAAAATTCTAATACAACACAAGATAATTGTTGACTATTGACCGCCATTCACAATTTTCAGATATAAAAAGTGGCTTATTAGCCAACTACAAGCATTATACATTGATAAACAAAAAATATATTTTG